ATGAGGAATATTCCTCATGTGTTATAGTGTTATACCATTGTAATCACATAGACGTGTTATTCCGCTGAGGCATAACAATGGGGAATATTCCCCATGTGTTACCGTGGTGTAACACATGGGAAATATTCCTCATGTGTTGTACTACCGTAATATAATGTATATATGTGTTATTCCACCGTCACGGTATATAATAATGCGTTATTTATCGAAAATTTTGTGTTATACTTCAATTAAACCGCATTATTTTTTAAATAATCGTATTATACTGCAATATATACACGTTATATTGAGAATACATGTGTTATTACGAATTATTGACATGTTATTTATCAAAATTTAAGTGTTATATCGCAATATTATTGTGTTATTGTTCAAAATTCAAGTGTTATAACGAGTTTAGGTTGTTATAACGAGTTCAAAATTCAATTTTATCATGTTATATGACTTTATAATCCGAAAAATTTCAAAATTTAAGTGTTATATAATAAAATTGTTACTTCTTAAAATACTCAAATAAATACTCAAATATAAGTTATATAATAAAATTGTTACTTCTTAAAATACTCAAATATAAATAAAGTTCAAAATATAAAATAATCGTGTTATACTGCGATATATATTCGTTATATTGAGAATACATGTGTTATAATTAATTATTGACGCGTTATTTTAAATTTTATCGTGTTATATGATTTTATAACCTGAAAATTTCAAAATATAAGCGTTACACCGTAAAGTTTAAGTGTTATAACGAAATATTGTTGATGAAAATTTCAAAATCTTGTGTTATACCGAATTATATGACTTAATGACCTGTCATTTTAAAAATATAAGTGTTATACTGTAAAATTCAAGTGTTATAGCGAAATAATGTTGCTTAAAGTTTCAAAATTCAAGTTTCAAACGAATTATATGACTTTATAACCTATAAGCACATATTTAACCATAAGCAAATGGCATAAACAAATTCACATATTTAAGCATAAGTAACATCAAGTGTAATAAAACCATAAGCACATATTTATTTAAGCGTTTAGATTCTTGGACCACATACAAATGCAGTTGTAAATCTCACCATTTCTTGTTGTCAGTTAAGATAAAGGGTCCAATCAATATCTTGTGCATGTGACAACATCAAAATTTTCATGAATTTGCATACAAACATACCGTCAGTTAAACGAAGAGAAGGTCTGTACGTTCTCTCCAAATGCATAAAGACTTGTAGGTACACCGAAATTGCTCGAGGGAAAGAATAAATTTGTCAGTAAGAACTTAAAAAATAGTTTCTCAAAAGAAGTGGAAGACTCTCATGACATCTTCCTTTATTGCTCTCGAATCTACATGAGATGACGGATTTTTCCTCCAACTATTAGATTCTCCGCTGTTGGGCATGCCTAACAAAAGCGCCACATGGTCGGCGTGGAATTTTACCAACTTCCCACCCATCACAAAAGCTCTTCTTTCTTTATTCCAGAATTCCATGATATGTAGAGTCAACACATTGTCTTGGGGATAGTGAGGCATGTCAAAAAACTGACTCATATTTATTTCTCTTAAAAAAGTCATTATTTTCTCAGGTGCAGTGTATCTAACAGTATCGAGTGCACTCCTCACTACGGAAGGACGACATCTACAATTGAACGTTCTTGCATTCATATACCTACAAAAGAAAACATAAGAAAATATTATTTTATAGATAACAATCTTCATCCACAATTTTAAAAATGATTCAAATGTTATTATTAGAAGTTTTTGCCAGGTTACATATGTGTTATTGTAGTGTTAAATGTGTTATTGAAGTGTTACATATGTGTTATTTATGTGTTATATGAATGCAATTGTTCAGTTTTTGTTGTGTTACAGATGAGTAATTATGTGTTATTGTTGTGTTACGGTGATGTTATCATTGTATTATTGTTGTGTTATAATGTGTTACTATTGTATTACTGTTGTAATATAATTGTGTTACTGTTCTGTTATTGTTGTTTATTGTTGGTTTATTGTTGTATTGTTGTGGTATTCTCGTGTTACTGTTGTGTTAATGTTGTGTTATAGTGTGTTATGAATGTGTTATGATTGTGTTATGATTGTGTTATGCTTGTGTTACGCCAGTAACACTACTATAACACAACAATAACACACTAAAACACATCATAACACATATATAACACATCTATGACACAATTCTAATAACATAGCACAACAATAATACAAAATAACACATCTATAACACCATTATATTAACACAACACAACAATAACACACAATAACACATCTATAACACACAATAACACAACTATAACACAATTATAACACACAATACACACAATAACACACACAATTATAACACACAATAACACATTATAACACATCTCCAAAAATCATAACACAACAATAACACCTTTATAACACACAATATCACACAATAATACGACTACAACACCACTATAATACTACAATAAAACAACTAAAACTTTAACTTTTATTTTAAAATAAACAATGTAGTTACCTCAATGACTTCGGGAGACCGCTAGGTTCTTCTGTTCTCTTGCGACCTTCCATTTTGTGTGCTAAAATGAGAAAGAAAATAAATCACTAGTTGTTGCAATGAAACGACTAAGCACAAATATTTGGAATGAGTATTGCATAACCTACCTTCTGTTTCCAGAGTCAAAACCGAATGAAGTACCACCACCAGCCGTTTGAATGGAGAACCACTGCCGCCGAAGCTAAGCCGCCGGCCGAAGGGCCGATGCCGAAGAATGAAGAGGCTTGAAGCCGAAGGATTAAGAAGCCAAATGCCGAAGGAGGAAGAAGCCGAATGCCGAAGGAGGAAGAAGCCGAATGCCGAAGGAGGAAGGAGGAAGGAGGAAGGAGGAAAAGCCGAAGGATGAAGAAGCCTGAAGCCGGAGGAAGAAGCCGAATGCGAACCGACGAAAGGCTCCAAAAACGCCGGATCTAACTTTTTGTCTGTTTCGGGATTTAATTTGGGTCGGGTTCACGATAAACGCACATATTAAATTTCTCGCGTGATTCGGGTCGGGCCAAGCTTCTTTTTTAATTTTTAAATGTTGTGGGACCCAATTCCACTTGTACTCCACTCATTGGACTCTGCAAGCAACTCACCCTGCGGAGTCCTGAGGCAATGAAAATTCCTCTTTCACATGCATATAAATCGAAACAGATGAAGCAAAACTACGCATCAATAATTAACTATAAAAAGTAAAAATAATGCAACAGGCCACTATTCTTTTTTCTCCGTGCACTCGAATCCAATCCTTAAAATTCTTCACTAATTTTCAAACTAATACCAATGCATACTCATTTGAGCACCACAACAGATTTAAAAAGAGACAATAATATGATGTTCATACTGAAACATTTTCATGCAACAAAGCAAAAAAATATAAATAAAGTAAAATAAAAAAGAGAAAATCTAACTATTTCTCAAGGGTAAAAATCAGCAATGGTAGTTTAATAAAATTTCATTCCAATTTACTTAATTAGCTAAAGAAAAAAGGTATTAATTGCCTGGAGATCACTTCAGCAGAGTCTAGTGAAGGCCACGCATAGAGCTGTCCAAAAGTTTTATTTGTTTGTCTAATCGTAGGAAAGATACAGATACAATGTGTTGGAGGGCCCAAACATGGCACCCTACCCACACCAAAACTAAAAGGGGTTTCAAAACTAGAAAATACTAAAAAATACATTAGAGACATAAAGAAAAATCCTAAAAAAGCTGAAATACATAATATCAGGTGGCTAGAGAGCAACTCAATTTGGTTTTGCCTCTGTCTCTGGTTCGCGGAAAGGAACAAGCTAATAAATTGATAAGATGATTGTCATTGTCAGTAGTAACCAATGTATCATCCAATATGTTCCCGAGCTGGAGTCGGCCTCCATTCTTCTTCTTCCTCCTGGAATAGACCTGTCATTCCTCTTCCGAAGATTGGCTCCCTTGATTTTGATCTAATGTGTGTTGGAGATGTGCAGATTGTTGAACATTAGAAGCATCTACATGTTGTATCGGTTTATCTGTTATTAGATCAAAGGAGCACTCTCGTGTGTCTTTGCATGTAAGTGAGTCTTCTTCAATAACAGTTGGTGCTATAAGCACAACTGGATTTGTAGCTGTAGTATGTTGTTCTTCCTCAGAAACTGTGGTGTTAGGAAGAGGATCGGGTTGCATCTTCTCGACAGGGATAATAGGTAGTTGTTTTTTTAGTGATATTCAGCCTTAGATGAGGATGCAAATGATAGCAAATAGTAGAGTTATGACCAAACATAATACAATAAGAGCAATAAGGAGGATGTGGTTCCATTTCAACCTTTTAATTTTAAGGATAGTGTGTGTGTGTGTGTGTGTGTGTGTGTGTGTATTCATTGAAATATTCGTAGATATACTGCTATGTGATTAAAAGTCTGAGATTATATTTTCTAACATTTATACATTTATATTTGCATGGATATAAGCGTAATAGTATAATCAACATATCAAATCAACAATTTTTTTATGACTTTAAAGTAGAGTTTATATTCGTCAACATCCCTTATTCAGCTCGATAATAGTGAACTGAACTAAAATAAAATTTTTTGAAGCATAACGATCCAAGTGGAACAACTAAGTTCGGTCAAACTTAGCTCATTTATACCTCCACTAATGTATTCTCTAATCCAAATTTTAAGTTCCCCAAATCTATTGATATACTCTAGAGTTATTGATTCGCCTACATATCTTTATGTAGTGTGGGCCACATCTCTTAACATGGAGCAGATAGAATGAATAGTCGTGTGATTTAATTACTATCAGTTCCTTCTCTGATAATTGGAATGTGTCCTTCCACAGTTTCATCTTCTTTCCTTGTTTGTCGGCAATTAATGAATACACCAAGCTGGTTTAGTGGTTCCGTATTAAACTAAAACGAGCTGCTAAAATTCAGTGGAATAAAAATTGACAGTGGTTTTTGCAAGAGGTCTACAAGCAGAAAAATTTAAATTACCTGCGTTATAAAGAAGCGCAGGAAGGTTTGCATTGAATAAAAAATGTAGATCAGCAAGGCTGTCAAAACTGTGGGCAGTGTTTTATGTCTCGTCAAAATGCTGCTTCATTTGTGCGCAGAACAGAGCCAGCCAAGACGAGATCTTTGAAGACTGCAGAAGAATGGGACTGTTAAAACTGGTTCTCAAACTAAAGTGAGGTTCAGTCTAAAAAAGTCAAAACAAGTAACTTATATCTTTCTGGTTCATTACCCATTTCACCATGAGAAGCATTCAGCAGTAGAAAGCTATAACCAATAGATAACACTAAAGATAAACATAGGCTCAGTTTGGCGCAGATGTAGTTTCTCGGTTTTTCAACCGTAGCTGCACTGCTTCAGGATGCTGCTGCGAGAAAGCTACTGTGGGGAAGCTGTCTGTCTGTTTGTTGCAACTGTGGGGCAACTGTTTCTGGAAAATTGACTATTCTGCCTCTATTCAGTAAATTTGTTTGTAACAAAACTGTGACACCCATATATTTAATATTTCAGAAACAGAAACTCATTTCAAAACATAATACGCCACTCACTTAACAATGAGTACCAAAAGTGCTACAAAAAAAAAAATTAATAAAATTACAAGTAAAATAATGATGATATTATTTTTAACATAAAGGCGATGGATGTCTCGTTCTAAACTGTCCTCCAATGATGCTATCAATTCGTTATCACTTTCAGCAGTGAAATCGACCTGATCATTAGCCCATCGGAAGAAGTCACACCATTCTGTGAGTTTTTGGGGGCATCTGTAAAAGTGGCGACCGTAGCAGTGGGTCTGTCGTGACCTCAGAAAGAAGTCTCTAGTCCGCAGTAGCATAGCAATTTTTGTGACGTCCCTGAATTTTTGGAGCTCATCTTTCCTGAAAACAGTGAAATAAAATCTATATAAGTATTTTTAATCTTTTCTGTACGAAGTTTTTGAGTAGATCATACCATGCGCTTACAGGTACTCACAAAAGAATTGAAACCAACTGACAAAGTCCGCAATTTAATTGAATGGAATAAAAGTGTTTGTAGCCTCTTGAGATTTGGTAGGTAGCATGAACTACAATTTGTTCGACTGACATCAGCCAACATGATTCGAACACATCATTGCACAATTCGGTAACAAATAAGTGATTTAAAAAGCTATTAAGAGCTCAAATAAACCGGAGTCATCATTAAAAAACAATTGTTACTGCTTTGCTTGGCTTAAAGTGTTCAATACGCCACCAATAAAAGACTGAGGCAGGCAACAACTGCACTAATTGAATCCAAAACCAATGCGTCAGTTTGCTCCTAAGTCACAAAGCAATACATACCCAGTAAACTATGGCATAACACAACATCAATTCTGTGTTACAAAATCAAGATCAAGGGATGTCCAGTATGCTGATCATGTCACATAAATAATAACAAACCACTGATGTAAAAATAGGCACAAGTCGATAATTACCCAAGACGATGTAAAACTTGCGGCTGTTTGAATATGTTGATATATATCCCACTTCCAAGAGACAAAAAGGATACCAAAGTCTCCTTTAAAGAAAAAAAAAATATTGCTCGTATCATTCTCCTATTCACTGTTCAGAGCAAATCCTGCTTTCACTCTATATTCAATTCAACAATGCAAATATTTGGCATGCACATGTATCATACAAGTTTGAACCGAAATACAAGCTGCTTTACAGGTGGTTTCTGTATATTGGATAAAATGCAGCACTGAATTATTAAAAGTTCTTCGGCTTATTTACATATTTGTATACTAACTAATATAGTAAATGCTTATTTTTTAAATTTTTATACAAATCATAACTAATCATATTTAAATTTCAGCTGAGAGTCTGAAGGGGTAGATTTGCTTACCCTTTACCCGTAACTTCTAGGATTTTGTACAAATATATGAACAGCTCCTTGACATGTTGAGCCACTACAATCACAACTTCTTCTGAGCTAACCTTTCATTCCAATTCAGGCATCGAACTAAATTGTGCAACCAACAGCTCATGCATATGCAAACCGAATCTCCTCTAGAGAGCTGCTGCCTTTTCCCATCAAATGATACCCAAGCTTTACTCCATGCATCCTTTGGAATCTGGTGATTTTAAATGTGAATTAAAATGTGAAGCGATTAAGAAAGATTCAATGTTCTGATACTGTAAAAGATCGAGTGTTAAAAAAAAAAGAGTAAATGACATAAGAGGCAAGGATTACATAGATATTTATATTATCAAAATCCTAGTAGAAAGATGTCTTGCAGAATGCAAATTCATCGCTATTAAAGCAAGAAAACAAACTTTCAAGACAACATGAAACGCAAGCTTGACTTCAATGACAAAGTTCTAAATAAAATCATCTAATAGTTGTTTCCACATGCAGTCATTCCAGCAAAACGGGAAGAAACATAAACATAATTGAATAAATTAATGAAAAAATTCAAAGATGAGACTAACCTTCAACTCAAGTTGTGCAGAATCAGGAAGTATAACAGATCTGACAGTGAATGTGGGCATATTGGCGCAAAGAGCATGCAAGGAACATTTGGGTGGACCTGCATTTTATTGTATATAAGTTATAAAGCATTTTCTGCAAAGGGGAAAACACACTATAAATTAAATTTAGATACTCTTCAGATAGTATAAGGGACAGTAAACAAGCTCGACTGCAAGCATTTCCTTGAGCATTGCTTTATAAACTGGTACCACTAGCAGAATCAAAACCAAAAAGCGGAGTGGATGCCATATAATAAAAATGAACATTGTGCAGCATGGAATTTAAAGACAGCTACAAGAGCTGGATCATCAATTCATGGAAAACACAGTCAAATGCCTTTTTGAAAGCCAAAGAAGACCCGATATAAATAGTTTCTTAATCTAGCTGATAGTAAGCAAAAAATTTATCTTTAGGGAGATTCTGCTTAGCTCCGGCAAATAAATCATTATCATCATAGCCTAGCTTATCCCCAACTATCTGGAACCGACTTTATCGGTCAGGCAATTATAAATAAGCTAATAGAGAATTTCAGATTATATCATAGTAGTAAAAGCTAATGGTAGTCTTATCAGAGTGCATTCGTCATTCGTCATTTTAGTAAGTGTGAAACAACAAATATTCAGCCTAAATCTGATTTGAAACATTTAATTTAACTACAAGAAAAAGGTAACAGAAGTTCTTATTTTACACAGCATAGATTCTCCTACAAGAAATAAAAAGGCATAAAGTCATTAGCAGTTGTTGCACTTCAGAAAGATCATAAAGATTTAAAAGAAAGAACTCAAAGGCGGAGCATTATTCATTTGGCTTACAGGCAACAGAAAACCCTAAACCTATTGTTCCTTTCTAGAATATATGACTAAATTTCTTTTATAATAATTCTTCTTTTTTAATTTTTTTGAAAGTTGGCAAAATGCTAAAATTGAGTTGTTCTTTCTACAAAACCTCAGCATAATACCAATAAGAAAGATTTACATACATACCACCCAATCCATAAATGCCCCTACATATAATCTTATAAATGTACTAGGTTAAACCTACTTTTGAGTTAAAGGAACAATCAACAGTAATTCAATTAATTCAATTTTAAGAACTTTGATTGTTCCTTATTGAGATTTTAACTTTGATTGAACATTGACGGTTAAGTACTTAAAACTAAATCTCACCAGTCTAGACTAACTTCATCCATTTAAAGTATAAAATCTAGAAATCACCATAACCGAAGATCAAAACAAGAGGGGGGAAATTAAAAAAAGGTGCACAGAGAACCAAATTTCTAAACTGCAAAGCCTCCAAAAATGCATATCAAGCATAAACTGAAATCAGCAGATGATGAAAAAAAAAGGCTGGTAGAGGATAAAGCAGATGAGCTCAAGTTGTTCATCGAGCGCATTGGTTCATTTGCAGCCTAACGGGATCAGAAGAATGCATTAACTATTTTTACATCAGATTTGAATCAGCAACACAAGTTCATAACCTATAAGTCAAAAAACCCTTCAAAAAACAGCACAGCATTAAAAAACAAAGAGCATGACAATGTAACAATTCATTTTAGTTCAACAACAGTATGAAACCTCTATTAACATCATGAACATCCGTTTCATTGAATGCTATGAAATCAAAATTATGAATGGAGAAAACTGTCTTGTTGTATTAGCTCCTCCACGGTTCCTCCACCAAATCCAAAAATGGTTGAATGGTGGGTGCTTGAAGAACAAAGAAATAAGATAAACCACAAAAAATTATTTGAGAAGAGTAGGCAAAAGAAGATTTTGAGAAGAATGTATTGAAGGCTTTGCGGTCTGCAAGTGGAGGAAGCCATAGATACTTATTCAGCCATTACTCTTTGGGGCTATCAAGAGGTTTGTGTCCCTCTCAATCTCTCTTTATGATTCTGTTTGGTGGCGGCAGTGGTTTTGCTAGCGGTTATGGGGAGGCGGAGCTTGCCCGAGAGAAGCTGTCGGTAGAAGGCAGGCGGGCAAAAGAAGCATAACATATCTAAAGCATCCAAAAAAAAAAAATTCTTACCGCTGCTTCGATGAAGAGAATCTGGGCTGCTTGAGAGGAGGACGACCTTTGGAGAAGAGGAGGAGAGGGTGAGAATCCGGGCTGCGTGAAAGGAGGACCTTCGGAGAAGAGGAGAGAGGAGTTCATTGCCTGCGGGGACGAGAATCTGGGCAGGATTTGTTTCAGATGGGGTAACGCGAAGAAGGCACAGGGGTAACAAGCAGGAAGGCAAAGTTGGGACACAGAGCCGTGGACGCTTTCCGCGTTGGGGAAATGGTGGCACGCCGCAGCGGCACCTCCTCCCCAAACAGCCAAAACTAGTGGCGTGGTGCCACGCCGCAGCCCTGCCGCCGCCCCAAACAGAGCCATAGTGATAAGCTTGAGCTTACGGAGTTTCTAGAAACACTACAAATAATTTGAACCCATGACCAGTGGAACTTGCAGATATCACTCTGGTAAGTGTAGTAATGTCAAGCCACATTCACCGGCATTTCTTCTTCAGAAACGGCATTTTCTAGTTTTATGGGCTGCCAATAACAAATCACTCTTAGTGCTGGTAATTTCCAATATCAAACATACCGGAAATTTAAGAAAAGGCACGAGTGTCAAGATAGAAAGCAATAGCTTTGGGTTTGGTTGTTTGGTAGCGCAGCAGAACACCACCCTGATTATTTGGCAAGATTTCGCTGCAATCCACTGCAGAAATACGCTGAAATGTCACATAGTGGGCCATGCCTGGGCAAAGCATGACATGGGATCTATACAGCAGTGGGACAAACAAACGCTGCTTAACAAACAAAACCAAAAGTGTTTCCAAAGGAAGAGCCGAAGTAATGTACATAATTTAGGGTAGTTTTCTTATTTAAGACTTCGTACAATCCCAACTCTCCTGGCATTTATGGGAAGAATATTCTCAGACTCGTTCATAATCATGCTATTATGAGGGGCATTAACTATCTACATAAAGAAAAAAGGATGCTTTCATGCATGACACCCAAATCTAAATTACTCACATAGCTAACACCATGATGCATCAAATTTTCAACTGCTCACCCAAAAAATTGAAAGTAAATACAAAATACTTGGGTTTGTTAAAGAAACATAGTTCAGTAGTTTAAAAAAAAGAATTGAGTGTGAGTTTCATAAATAATACAGATTTAGATATTATGGGAGAAAAAAAATCTTAAAAAATATCACTATTACTTAATATTAGAGGCATGATATTCATATTTACTGCTGCTTATTGTGAAGAACACGATTTAATAATAGCATATTGATATAAAATCAATGCAATGAACAATGAAATAAAAAAAAATAACACAAGAAAGTATTTTATAGACTTTCGCAAGACCTCTTTTATAGAAAATAATTAAAAGGCAATAAAACAAGAACACACGAATTGTATCAAAAGGCTATTATAAAATTAATCAACTGATAGGGGTCTTTAATTCCTGTGCTTATAGTTTCCTTGTAAGACTTCAATCTATGTGCTCACAATTTGCTCATGAGATAAGCAAGACCGATTGAATTTGGATCACAAATTTGGCCATCTTCCCGTTGATACAAATTCTAAAAAGAAATATAAAATAAATATTTAATCTTCGAGAGAACATTTTCCACACCTTCCAGAACACTCTAGCAACATGAATGAATATCAAACAAGTTTGAGCAAAGCTCAAACTTTTGTATTAAGCGTACCTTAATCATCATATTTGTAGGATTATCAAAGGTACCTATCTTCCCCTCAACAATATTAGCACGAGCTATAACATCAAGAAAGAAGTGGTAACGAATATCAATGAGCTTAATCCTATCATAGAATATTTGATATTTGCTGATACAAATAGCACTCTAACTTTTACACATTATTTTGGTAATCTTCAAATATTCACTAAGCTCTTCAAATAAACCTTTCAACCAAAAAATTTTTTTGGAAGCAACAATAATTATCATGTACTCAACTTTATTTATAAATAGTGTCATTAATGCCTGTAAAGTGACCTGTCAGTTAATCGCATAACCACCGATAGTAAACTCTTATCATATAAGTGATTTCTTTTTATCAGAATCTCCAACAAAATTGGAATTAGCATAACCAATGACTCTATTTGTAGTTTTCTCGAACTACAAAAAAACAACATTTATTCCAAATAGATACCTAAAGATCTACTAGATTTCTTTCCAATGCTCATTACCCACATTACTCGTGTGTTGGCTAACTATGCTAGCTACGTATGAAAAGTCAAGACAAAAATATATCATAGCATATATAAGAGATCTCACTAGAATAGAATATGAAACTCAAGAAATATACTCAATCTCATGTGATTGTGAACACAAAGTTGTTGGATTCTAAAATGCGTAACTAATAGAGTACTAACAAATTTGATATTCTACATATTGAACTTATGCATAACTTTTTCAAAGTATGTCAAATATTTTATTCCATCTCCCAAATCATTTATCTCATATTTACTACTAAGTTGAGTTTTTAAATTCATGATATCATTTTTATTATGAGCAACTATCAACATATCATCAATATATAAAAACAAATAGTTAAATGATCCATCATCATTCTCTATCAAGTAAACACAATTATCATAGGTGCTCCACTTAAACACATGAACAATCAAGAATGAGTCAAATTTTTTATACCAATACATAGGAGATTATTTCAAACCGTAAAAAATTTTAATTTTCTACTTGAATTGTGTATCTTATTCTTAATTCTGAATTTTAATCTACTATTTGTATCAACACTAGACTCTTCTCTTAAGTTTTATCATGAATGACAAAACTTTCTCCTTAAGTAGGTTCATTTACAAAATGTTTTATCTACTATTAAGAAAATAAAACATCTTCATCTAGAGTAAGTGTCTCTCGTCAAGATGTTATCTCTAAATATTGCATACAACAAGATTAATGTCAATTCTTTTTCATCATAATTAACTTCTACAACATCTAAATCAAAGACGATTTGGATAAGAAAGCTCGCATTTTAACCTATCAAAAAGAAAGACCGGTGTTACAATTTAAAAGAGTGATATCATATTTCACTGTTGTCATCATTTAGATAAAAAATTGTCTCTAATATCATTTTTTATAAAATTGATGCAACTAATAATAAAAATAAATAAAAGAAAAAACATAAACTTTATGTGGAAAATCCAAGCTTGGAAAAGATCACAAATAGATGAGGAGAATTCAATATGTCAAAAAAGAAGTTGTAAGTGGAGAGCCTCAGCTAACATAAGAAAAACTAAAAAAAGAAGTTATTTTGTACAAACAAAGTACATATTTATAGATTTCTGTAAGACAACTTTTAAAAAAATAATAAAAGAGAACTAATGAAGTGAGAGCACGAAGATTATAATCAAAAGACTATTATATGATTAATTGAAAGGCAGAGGTCTCCAATCAATGTGCTTACTTGTAAGACTTCAATCCGTGTACTCACAGCTCCTTTATGAGAAAGAAAACTCACAGAATAAGGGTCAGCAATTTAACACATACCATGGATCATAGTCATGATTAATGTGGGTATCATTTTCTCCATTGATTTGATATCATATTTAAGAGAATTTAAAATCAGTTCCCTGCGAGGGAAAAACAATGTAGCACGATGTTGCATACTTCATTACATCAAATTTTTAAAGTTAACAATTCTTTAGCAACAACAATCATGTCTTTCTAGAGACTAAATTTGTGTTAAAAATATGCTAAATATTATATGCCCCATAAGCCAAGAAATGTGCACGTAATGCCATTTAATTTATGTTAAAAATGCATTGACATTTTTGGTGCTAAGAAACATAACTCCATTTCAATGGAAAAATACTTTTAATTTCTTGGAGCTCTGATAGCCAAACGGTGTTCAACACCAATTGTGTGAAGAGATTTGATGTTACCGCACCATCTGCCAGTATAACGCACTCTTTGTGTACAATATGACACATAAATTTAAGCATTGGCCTTTTCAATGTTTTACACAAAGTATATACACCCTTTTACCTACAGTTCATCTTCGTGGTGCTGAAGAAACTGTGAACAAAACATAAGCTTTCAGCAAATATTACACCCACATAACAAACACATTAACTATTGAATGAATAAGTTAAAATGGTTTAAGAAGCCATAACTGCTTGTACTACTTGCAGCAGCTACATAGTGTACCCTAATTCCTGGAATGAACTGTATTAATTTAAGTATGTCCCTTCTGCTTTGAATAGTAAACAAACGAATTATGATTGAATCATTGTGGCGGTAACAATAGGCATTATGACACTAAATGTTATGGTTACCATGGTACTTTTTATACCTTGTACAGAGTCGTCCTGCAGCCTTCATTGCCTCAAGATTTTAGGGACTGTTTCACTCTTTCAGCTCCAGCTTTATCTCCAGTTA